GCTCCTAGGATTTCTAAGAAAGAACAAGTTTGAATCTCATATTTATTTTTGTGAAAAGTGTACATATGCTAGCTACGATCCATATTTTGTAAAGTTTCCGATCGATGTGAAATTTATTACTTACAATAGTTTTGTAAAGCCTTTGATCTATGTGAAATTTATAACAAAATTTAGATGTATGTTAGATAATATTCATTTGAATTATTGGCTTATGCTCTGAGTTTGTTTTTGTAAATTTAACACACTACGTGATATAGTCTTTTTTTTGTTTTCTTCTTTTTTCTTCCTAATATGCTCTTAAATTAGGTTAAAGAAACTAATCATATTTTTATTTGGTTGAATTTGAATTTTTGCTTCCATATATATATTTTTATCAGGAAGGGTGTTGTTTTTATATTAAGTTGATAATTTATTTTCATATGGAATTGGATTCTGTGCGTATTAATCTATTTAAATAATTGTTCATTGCACAATTTTTGTCATTTTTCTTTTGTATTGCAAAGCATGGCTGGTGTGCTTTATTTATTTGTCATTTTTTTTTGCTATTGTGAAGCATTGATTGGTGTGTTTAATTTGTTTTTTGCCATTTTTTTTTTTGTATTGTAGAATATTGGTTGATATGCATAATTTGTTATTTTGCATTTTCTTTGTATTACAGAACATTGGCTAGTGCTTAATTTGTTATTTGGCATTTTCTTTGTATTGTAGAGCACCGACTAGTGTGCTTAATTTGTTGTTCATTTTTTTCTATTGCAGAGCACTGGCTGGCATATTTCGTCTAATTTTTTCTTAATGTTTCTGTGTTGTGGGACTTACATTTTTTTGTTTGTTTAAAATCTTATACTTTTGTTGTGCTTGAATTTTACGTAGCATTTATGTGTTTACTTTTCACTATTTTGTTTACCTATAAATTTTAAAAATCTATGTTTAAATTGATTTATTTACCAAGTAGCGTACAATTTATTTATTTTTCACTTATTTAATTTTATGCACTGTAAACTAACCACCAAGCCATAAAAATTGGTAGATTTCAAGCATTAGATTAAAATTGATACAAAACTATAGCCACAAGATCTATCTTACTTATTTCAACTAAAGCTCACTCTCTAAAAAAATGTGGAATATAGAAATTTATTTGGGTACTATTATTGGCCAGGGTAATAAAGGGCGTATTTTTTGTTGGAAATTGCAAGTGGGTTAAAAAAACAAAAAATTTTACAATAGTAAATATTTGGTGATATGGTATGTCATCACTATTTTCACGTTTTCTTGGCCAGGGTAATAATTGTGTCATTACTATTTTCACGGTTTTTTGATAAATTGTAGCAATTTCCATCACATTGCCTCCACTACTACTAATCATCACTACAACAAAAAGCGTCTTTGGAGACGAAAATTAATGACGAAAATAAATTTTGTCACAAAAGACGTACCTTTTAGTGAAGAAAATAATTTTTCGTCTCCAAATGTATCATTTTTAGACACAAAAATACAATTTCGTCACCAATCTACATATATAATAAAAAAAATTAGGTGACGAAATTATTTTTCGTCATTATTTATATTTTTTTTTGTCACTAAAGATTTTCCCGCTAATTTTTCGGATGGTGCCAAAATTTTCAAACTATTGGTGAGGAAAAAATTGGTCACCAATAATAAAATTATTAATGATGAATATATTTTCGTCGTCAATAATTTTTAGAGGTAATTACCTAAAAGTCCTATCTACACATTTGGTGGTAGCTTAGGTCCTATCAAAAAAATTTTGAACCAGTAAGTCCCATGTACAGGTAAAAAGACGTCTTGCCCTTTAATCCCAAAACTGAGAATGTTCTCAATTTCAAAATTGAGAATGTTCTCAATTTATAATTATCAAAACTAAGAAATTTCTCAAATTTTTTCTAGTATGAACTAAGAATATTATCAAAACTAAGAAATTTATAATTATCAATTTTGAGAAATTTCTCAATTTTTTTCATGCTTAAAATTAAGAATATTATAAACTAGGTTCTCAATTTTAAGAAATTTCTCAATTTCTTTCATGATTAAAATTGAGAATATTATCAATCTACTCTCTCTTACATTTACGTTCTCCTCCTCCTTCTGCACTTTCCAGATCTGGAAATCTCCTAATCTAGTTATAGATCTGGTTCGAGATGTTGAGCTTCACAGCAACTTCGTTGAGCTCAATGAAAGAAGTAGTTGAAGATCACCACTACGAACATCGCTCCCTGTTATCTCTCCTCCATTGTTCTCTACTTTATTGTCGTTCAAATTAGCTGATAATTGATTATTGTAGTCATATTGCCGCAACAGTAGTTGAAGATTTATACATCGTTGAAGATCTGTAGCTTCACAGATCTGTACTACAATGAACTAATTGATTATCTAGCAAGAAGAACAATTCGATATTACCCCAACAGTCATCATTGAATCGTTCGAGACCTGTACTTCGTTGCATTGAAGAAGTGATCTCGAGAGCCACTGATTCGACCCTTGCTGCTGCTGTTGCGACGTGGTCGCTGCGTGAAGCGTCGTCTTAGGACGCTGCCGCTGATGATCGGTAGCGATTTTCCGATGATACTCAAGTGGATGCGTATTGGCATTCGGAGTCCGATCGATTTTGCAGATGACAGAGTTGGAAACGGATTGAAGAAGAAGAAGAAGATGAAGGATCTGATCATAGCAAGACCATTCATGTTGACTAGAGACCAGAGATTGAGTCTGTAGGGAGGAGAGAGAGAGAGAGTCTGGCTGGCGAAGAGGTCTTGGAAGGGTAAATTGGCCTATTAAAAATTAATGGGACTTGAAGGAGCAAATGATTTTATTTAGGACTTAATGGAGTATAAGTTCACAAAATGGGACTTGTATGTAAATGCCCCTAATTTTTAATATTTTAATATTATTTAGTGAGAAAACTATTTTCATGGCTAATAATTTTATCTTTTAGTGAGGAAATAATTTTGTCACAAAATAAATGGTTTAGTTGAGAAATGTTTTTAGAGGGAAATGAATATATTGGCGCCTTAGATATATCAGTTCGTCTTCTCACACACAGATTTGACCACCAAACCTCACCCTACATGACCTCACCTCAGCGCATACCACTAACGCCGCTCGCTACCGCCACCCCCCTCCACCACCACCACTGCCCTCAGATCACCACCACCTCATCCTCACAAGTATTCTCTCACCACTACTAGAAAAGAAGGCTTTTGACACGGAATTTTTTTAGACGGTTTCAAAATCATCGCAAAAAGTTACTTTTTGCGACGGCAAAAAAAACTGTCGCGAAATTATCTTTTTTGCGACGACATTTGATTGTCGCAAAAAAGGCACCGACTAAATACCACTATTAGAGATGGAAAATCGAAGACTGGCAAAAAGTAATATTATACGTGATGGTATGTTACTCGTCTTTCTTTTTTTTTTTTGGAACGCTCTTTGTTAACCCATCGCAAAAAATTTTATTTTTGCAAAAAAAAAATAAGGATGTAAAACGAAGGGTTGAGATCACTTGAAGAAGAAGAATACATTAACAAAACGACGTCATTTTGGTGAGGTAATTCAAAATAATAATAATAATAAAACAAAAGCCTCTATTCTCTTGGTTACGTATTTCAGAAGAGAGAGAGAAGACGATGAGCTAAGGAGTCGCTGTCCTCGCTACCCCATCCCCTGCTCGTCCGCCGCTGCCGCTAAGGAGTGGTTGAGTTCAGATTGAAGAAGCTAGTATTCATTCAACAGATTCAACAGGTTCATCCTCCAAACTTAAAATATTAGGGTTTTTAATTCAAAAATTAGGATTTTCTATGCTTTGATTTGAGGCTTTTTACTTGATTTATTTCAAATCTATTATTGGGTTAAAAATTAGGGTTTTGATTTGGGGGTTTTTACATGATATTGAGAGCTCTCTTACCTGTCTCTTGTTATTGAAACTAGGGTTTTGGTTGAAGGATTTCAATTGAACCAAATAAATAAATAATAATTTGATTTGGGAATTTCAATTGAAAAAAGGGCTTTGATTTTAGGATGGAGTTAATACTGCTATTGATGGATTCTTATCCCATTAGATTTTATTAATGTCATTTATATAACCATGAATTGTTTAGTTGATAGTGACAGTAGCAGAGGTGATCTTGATGATGTGGGTGATGATATTTTTGAACTCTACTTAATGAACTTATCCTGATCTTCTCTGTTTCTTTTTAATTTTTCCAAATGTTCATCCCTCTCTTTTTAATAAATTATTCAAGGATCTTTCTTTTCTTTTCTTTTCTTTTCTTTTTTTTTTCTTTTTTTTGGCTGGTGTTTATGTCTTTTCTTTGTCATTAGCAATTGGTATCTTTACTATTTTTGCACTTAATATGTGCCTATGTTTGTTTTTCCAGAAATGCAAGCAAAGGCTACTATATTTGTTCTTATTTGTGCTTCTATATTGGAATGGATTGTACATAATTTATTATATTTATGGACACAGTCCTTGAAATTAATTTTATTTCTATCCCATTCACATGCCCTTTTTGTAACGCGGAATTGGTTATCGGAGACACAAGATTTTGAGGTTGACCTGTTTCCCAATCTTTCTTTTCCACCTACGCCACAGATGTGAGAAATTCTATTCAATAACTAATAAGCAATGAATGAGCAGTTATTGTTTTGTTGTTCACAGCATTGACCCTTAACACTTGGAATGTACCGTTCAAAAGTAGGAATACTGTGGTGATTTGGAATTTTAGTTAATAAAGTGTTAATGGAGAATGGATGAAAAAAGGTTTTTCATTTTTTCTTTATAGTTCATAACACACCTGACCGTACACTGAGTAGTTTTTCCTACTGATTGAACTTTCTTGAGTGTTACAATTATTAAGACATCTTTATTAATTAAGTGAGAATTTCAAGTAGGTAAATCATGTGGCTTAAGTTATTTACATTTGTAGTGGCACTTTGTGCAAGACATGCACTGGCTTCGGAATGATCTTTATAATCTGAGGAGCCATCTTCTTAGAAGTATCTGTTGACACTGCATATTTCATTTGGTGATTGATGTTGCAAGATTACTTCACATTTAGAAGTTCAATAAGTTTTGATTATTCAGAGTGTTACTCTATTTTCTTTTTCCATATTATTCAGTGATTCTCATTAGTTTGCTGATCTTATTTGCTGTGTTCTTGGAATCATGATTGGTACTGCTATAATGAAGATGCAGAGAAAAGAACTGAAGTTTAAAAAGAAGCAAGTAAAACATGTAAAAGAAGTTGCTAAGTTTGAAATATGTCGTAATAACATACTACAACAAGAACTATGTTGCTTAAGGCAGGATTTTGTTCAAATTTCGCATCGCCTGGATGTACTAAATAACTGTTTCTTACATTGGGGTGAAGGTAGTGATGACCTAGAAAAGGTTGGTTTCTCTCTCTCTCTCTCTCTCTCTCTCATTGTTTAAACTATCTGAACACGCTTAACTTGAATTACATGTTTGTTGGTTATTTGATAAGTACGATGGCATTTACTTATCAATAATAGTCTATAGCATACAGGTTTCTAGTGTTCGTTATTGGACTATGTTTGGGTTGAGTTTACTCAGAAGCAACTTAACTGAAGTACATAGGTATTTGACTGATGGTTGTTTGGGTTATTAATCTGATGGGTGAGTAATCCAATTAGAGCTTATGTGTCTATAATTCATCACGGACTTGCTTGTATATATGTATTTTATTAAATGTATTAGGAGATAGTTGTTTGGTTGAAGATTATAAATAATGCTATTCATAAGTAGCTGTTGTCAGTCAATTTGTGCAGCCTAAGACTATATAGTTTCAAATTTAAATACTTGAGTTATGTGTTGAGTACTCGTTCATCCTATTTTTTGTTTTCTGTGCAAGTGATTTGTTTTCGATATCTTATGCTTTTTTCCCCCCTTCTTGAGCCAGAGCATACACAAGTTTTTTCCCCCTGCTTTGTTGTTGCATTGCTACGAGAGCTTGCAGGAGTAACTATACCACCTGAAAGAATCTATGGTCTGGGAACTAAGTGAGAACATTTTTAAGTATATATATATTGTGTGTTATTACAAATGAAAATTACTCTAGCTGGTCTTTTAAGCACCCCTCTCAAATTTCAGATAATCAACTTATTTAAACTATTCTTATTTATATTACCAAACAATCTAACACAATCTCTTTTTTCTTTTTGATTTTTTATGCGTATTTGTTTTCCTATATGTTTTTGATAAGAGCAAATGGTGAGTCGGAGTTTTCCTTGATCATCGCCACACTCTAGACAACCAGTCAATTGCTCTGATTGTCTTTCTGAAAATCCGAGCATTTCGAGGTACCCATTCCATTCCAATTTCTCTTCACTATTTCTTTGATTTTGATACTCATATATACATAGTATATTCATATATATCTGTAAAATTGATTCAATCATTCTTTTCTCTTTTTAATAATGAATTAGAAATGCTTGCTAATCAGGTCTATAAAACTCTGATGATATGTTTAATTATTCACCATTCATACTTCAAATCTCCATTTCAATAGCCAAGTTATCATTGCAAGAGGGGAAAAAAAGATAAGTTGGTATCAATGTCAGATAGAAACATTGAAAATATGTTATTTTGTTGTTCCACAAAGTCTTGTAAGAATAAACCCTCAACAAAATAGCACCTGCATCAAACAGTGAGTCATCTTCAACCCTGCTAGGCTGCTACTTGTCACCCATCTTGTTTAATGCAAACCTTGATCTCCAATAGGCTCTCCAAGAACCAATTACATTAGAATCAGACATTAGCATAGTTAACCCTTTTCTAACTGTAAATGATTAGTTTTTTTTGTTTCTTTTTGTAGATGCAACCCTTTTGAGTACGTAATGATATCTTTGCATATCGATATTGGAGTTTACAATGTTATTTATTTATTTATTTGTTGAAATAAATATAAAATGTTTTACATTTTCTATAAGCTTAAAATTAATTATATTGTAATTGTTTTTTTTTTTTTTTTGGTTTCTTTTTGCAAATGCAACCTTGTTGAGTATGTGATGATATCTTCGCATATCAATATTGGAGCTTACTATTGATATTAAAACAAGATATAATACATATGTTTTTTTTATTTGTATTGTCGATACTTTTGTTTTATTTTAGATACAAAAAATTGAGTTATTGAATATCAATAATTATTAGTATTGTTGGAGGATGTTTTATATTTTTTGTAAAGAATATTCGGTTGACAATTGTTATAGGGTACATATATATTATTCTTGGTATGATTTTGTGAATGTGAATGTGAATATGGATGTATTTTATTTTAGAAAATATTAATAACTTGTACAGGGAATGAATTAATAAAATATATATTGATTTTATGAAAATAATTTTATTGCGACAATAATAAACCGTCGCTAATGTAATTATCATTTCTTTACATTTTATTAGCGACGTGTTAACCCGTCCCGTATGCATATTAGTTCAAATTTTTAGCGACGGTTTAAACTGTCGCAAATACGATATTAATATAATTTTACTTTTTTTGAGATGTTTTAGACCGTCGCTAATAATATTTTTCGTGACGTCAAATACCGTCGCTAAAAAAGTTTTGGCAACAGCAACTAACATCGTCACTAAAAGTGAAGCTTTTTCTATTTTTCTTGTGTCAGGTTAAACCGTCGCAAAAACCATTGATTAGTTGTCGCTACAAGAAAGCGACGGGTTGTAACTGTCGCAAATACTTTTTGTTACGCCCCCTTCCGCCACCCCCCATTTCTCTTCGCTACTCCGTAGCAAAAAGCCTTTTGCGATGATATGTGAACCTTTTGCGATAGTTTTGTGCAAAATCCACAACCTTGGTGAAGACTTGATGGTGTATTAATTCATTTTGATAGTAAAGAAATTCTCAAGGAAGTTCCTTGGGAAGTGGACGTAAGCCTGGCGTGCCGAACCACTATAAATCTCAGTGTTTGATTTTTTCTCCCTATCTCTCTTACTTTTATATTGATAATTATTATTCTATTTTTTATTTATTAAAATTTCGAATATTGTGTTTATAAATTTTAATATTGTAAAATTTTTTAATAACCTAATTTACCCCCTTCTTGGGTTGCCTACTTGGGATAACACAAACGAAGGCTAAATGTTGAAAAGATCGTTATAGCGATCTCGGTTTTCCTCTCATCGTTTATTGTATTCCGAACTCGGTTCCATGGATGTGTGTTGTTGTCTTATTCTCGTTTTCATCCTTTACTCTTGTATTTGAGTCTTGGGTTGTGTTGGGCAAGTTTGAAACAGGTTGGTTGTGTTTAGAAACAATTGGTTTATGCCCAGATTTTGGCCTTCACGCTCGAGCGGGGCTTTTGACGCTCGAGCGGGCCCTTTTGCTTTTGCTTCTACGCTCGAGCGGGCAGTTTGACACTCGAGCGGGATTATTCAGTCTTCAGTATTTTCCCTGCAGGACATTGGACGCTCGAGCGTCCACTTTCTCGCTCAAGCGGGGACCTTCGTCTGCAGAACTTCTGGAAGTGTGCATTCGACGCTCGAGCGTCGCTTTACACGCTCGAGCAGGAGTCTGTGTCTGACGCTTGAGCGGGGCGTTCCACACTCGAGCGGACTATGATGCATATCAGTATGAGAGAAGCCATTTTGAATGACTTTTTTGACTCTCTCTCCCTCTCTAGCTTCTCAAAACCCTAATTTGAGAGCTCATCTCTCTAGAATATCCTCTCTCTCTACATTTTGATCTTGATTTAGCGAGACCCAACCCTTATGCCTTCATTAAAGTGTTGAAGCTTCTCAAGACCTCCATTTTGATCCGAATAGTTGTGAGTTTGGAGCACTTTCGAGTTTCTTCATCATCTCCTTTGGGTCTCTTCACTTAAGGTACAGATAACTACTCATATCTATGGCCTTTGTCATAAACATGTGGTCTTTTTATTAAATGTTGAAGTTGGGAACTTTTGGGTGTTAGGGTTTCAAAACTTGAAATGTATAAAGAGGGGTTTTGGTCCTTTTGACTTATACATGTGTATATGGGTCTTAAAATGAAGTTATTGATGTTTATTGATGGTATTTGGACCTTTGGGTCAATGTTGAGAAAAATGGGAAATGCCTTAGTTGGGTTAAATCGGGTCATTGGAGTGATTAATGAAATTAATATGGGAATGTGAAATTGGTTTGGAAATAATGAAATTGGGCAATTATGGGATTGAATGGTGGGGTTGGATTGATTAATCACTCACCTTTGAAATTGTAGATAATTTATCTGTTTGATAATTTGCTATTTGTTTAGAAATAATTATTTTGGGCTATCGGTGGAGGATAGTCTTGATTGTTGTAGACACCGCATGATGATTAAGTGAATTAAAACTAATCAATTGAGTATGTCATTGAATATGACGGATGGAATAACACATTAAATATGTGATTTGCTTGATCATTGTATATGATAAGTGTTTAAATACATTGCATATACATGTCGTTTGGGAGGAGATAGGGCATGTACTCTCAAACCTGTTTGGGAGGAGATAGGGGATGGACTCCATTGATAACTAAGTTGGCCGGAGTGTCCAGGGTGAAAGTCCCGAAATCTTGATTACGTTTGCATAACGTAGATGAATTGAAGTGTTGAAGTATTATTGATATGAGTTGTAGTCTCATTTTGAATTGAAGTATGGAAATGTTAATTATATAAGTTGTAGTCTCGTTGTAAACTGTCTGGATAAATTGAGAACCATATCTATGTATTGGTTTGGATAACGAAATGGAAAAGGATATGTATATATATATACCTGTAAATATGGATTGGTTATGAAAGAGATGTACGTCTGTTTATTTGAGTTAGACATTCATCAAAAGCTAATGTTTTAGTTATTGTTCATATTATGTTTAGCATATCTCTACTGGGCTTTGGCTCACCCTATATGGGACATCATTTTTCAGGTTCAGGTGATATGCCACCTCCAAGGACGTAGCTTGGGATGCTTAGAGGTGCAAAGATCTTTTTGTTGTCATCTTTTTGGTATTATATGTAAATTCAAGCCAAGGGCTTAATGTGATTTGAGTTAGCACTCTCTTTTTGTAATCAAGTGTTGGCTTGGAAAGTTGTAAGCCCGTAGGTTTATATGTATTATTTTGAGGGCGTTACAACTTGGTATCAGAGCGTACCGGGTTTGAATACTTTGGGTACGTGGGGAGTGGTTAGTACCACAGTGGGTTTGTCTCACTTGTTAGAGACTTTGGTGTAATGTTATGCACTTATGTAATAACATGTTTATGTGACTATATGGGTGTGGGATTTAGTTTCTCGGATGTTGATTGGATCATTGGATTTCTGGGAGTCCTGTTGGAAAAGCACTTGATCAATGTTGTTTCTAACCGGAACTCTAGCAACGCCTCGGGATTGTCATTATCCGGGAATGAAATTCGTAAGTGCTTATGTGATTATGTGCTTACGTGGATTGAATTACAGTTGTCCATTGCATTAGGACATGAGTGAAATAGCTTCGGCACATTTGTGAATGTGCTAATGTCTTTGTTACCTTTATTAGGATGTCAGGACGAGGACGTGGTGGTAGGCGAGATAGGCCTAGGAGGCAGGAGATGCCTATACCGGATGAGATTCCGACGCAACAGGAGGGTGTCGGTCAGGCCAATGTGGCCAAGCCAGTAGGTCAGCAGGCCATGGGCGCTTTAGCCCGCGAGATGACAGGAGCATTGAGGGAATCCATGGACATTCTCAGAGCTAAGAATCAAGTCCAGGCCCATGTTGCCGAGGCAAGGCCTTCTTTGCTGAAGAGGGAGTTTTTCCGGTCCATTCCGGATGAGTTTCTAGGGGATCCTAAAGAGCCACTTAAGGCTGATAAGTGGCTTGAGCAGATGACGAAGATGTTTGAGATGCTTAGCATCGAAGACGAAGCCCTAAAGGTGACCTTGGCGTCCTTCTAGCTGAAGGGAGACGCGGGTCAGTGGTGAAAGTTTGTTCGAGGCCGTATTGGTGGGACTTGGGAGGCTTTCGTTGGTGCCTTCTAAGAGAAGTTTTTGCCTCCCGCTGTTAGGGAGAAGTTGAGGGATCAGTTATGTCAGCTCAAGTAGCTGAATACACCAGTGACCAAGTTTGAGGCCACGTTTACCAGTTTATCTAGGTTTGCACCTGAGCTAGTGGCATCTGAGGAACGTCGTTGTCTTGAGTTCGAAAAGAAGTTAAGGACTGGGCTCAAGCTTAGGGTTACTGGGTCCATAACT